CTAAGCAATAAAATCCTCAGTTGTTGTTGACTGGTTCATTCGGGTCTTCCTGAGAATGTTTCTGCGTATCTTAAAATAACATGTCTTACTTACTTTTAGGGTTAAATTCATAAGGGTTGTTCTACTTTTTTTATAAGTAAGTTTGTTCTGCTTTGATGTGCTGAGACTGTAGAACTGGTAATCTTTAAGCTCTATATTCTACATGGGAATGAGGGATATATCATAGGCGTGAAGATGGTTACACGATGAGTTTGAGTTTTTAAAGGCATGAAATCTTGAAGTATATAAAACTCTATAAATGGCCTTTATATAAAAAGTAGGAGGGCTGTGACTTCAATACCAGCCTCATATAAAATCTAAATATGTGTTTAGTTTGTATAGAAAATCGTAGAGTATATTTTATTATCTTTAATTATGAATGGACAGTTACATGCAAAACAGTTTGACCTGCAATAAGCCAATAATCACCTTCTAGAGGTGCATGATATCAATTGTGTTCGTAAATCAAAGTAGCATTTTGTAATTTGGACAGTATAATAAATTGTTCTATACAGTATAATAAATTGTCCATATAGAACTTACCGAGCACACAATCTTGATCCTCTCCACAATCTATTAGGAGCTTGTTGTTGACGAGATCTTCATTGTTTAGTCTAACCCCCGAGTGTCCAGATGAGCTGAAGGTCTTCAGTGAGTGCCTACTCTGTCCCTTCTTCATGTCTAGAGGCCTGCTTTGATTGAAGTACATAAGTGTATCATCAGAATCTGAAAGATAATAAAGATTTAAGACTAAACAGTTAGCCATAATAACCAAACTGAGAACATGTACAAATGTACACCAAAAAATATTCTCATTTTGACAAGGAAGTAGGAATCATACTGCTAAGAGAGGATAAATTTTCAGTCCTAAGCAATTGGCAGGTTCATTCCATACTCCAATTTGAACCAAGGATCTTATATAAAGTTCAAATAAATAAATTTTAAGTGATTGCTAACCTTTAGGGCTACCTAAGTTGCATTGGTAACAATTAGGGAACAGTAAAACCATACATGGTGGCTCTACCATTTTTTTTAAAACTCCTTTGTCCGTGGCTGTACATTATTTCGCAAACCCCCTTGCCCACACGGCCACACCTCCCTTTTGGTTGACCTGACATGGAAAACAGACTAGCTTGGCCGCTCCTAAATCCTCCGTTCCAAATTGTAAGGTGTTTTAGCTTTGTATTAAGTCAAACTTTTCTAGCAATCTAACTTTGACCGTGTTTATAGAAAAATGAGCAAACATCTACAACATCAAACAAGATACATTAGTTAAACCATGGAAAACATTTTGACCGTGCATCTATTGATACCGTGGATGTTAATATATTTTTCTATAACCTTCGTCAAAGTTAAACAAGCTTGACTTAGGACAAAACAAAACGACTTATGATTTGAAACAGCGGGAGTACGTGATAGAGCCTTTCGGGGCAGCAACATAACACATTGCTTTCCCAAATTGTACAAGCATAACGTAATGCTTACTACATCTTTAGATCCAACCTCCCATGTACACGAGACAAGCTAAGTTCAGCTCCTTACATCAAATCCAAAATTATAGTTTGCTAGCGCTAGAAAGTCAAAGCACAGAAATTCCCGTGCCTTTTAAAAAGTTTATTATGGCTCATCATAAAGTAACAAGCCATAGAGGGCACCCCTCAATCAAATTTCGCCAGCATTCTGATCCTCAGGCTCGGATATTCCAAACTTATCGACCTATTCCAGATTTCCAGTATAGACAGAAATGCTCGATGGAACAGCTGTTTCGTCGAACATCTAGCAAGTAGCAACCGCACGCTGAAACCAACCGAGAGGAAACGCGGAGCAGAGCTCCCCTACAAGTCTACAACAAGGACAAGAGACAGCTCATCACCTGAAACGCCGCGCGGGCGGCAGGAGGGAGCGGGGTGGCCCGTGCGGGCCGCGGCGGGGGCAGCGGAGGAGCGGCGGCCACCGGGGAGCCGGGGACGGGGAGGGAGAAGGGAAGCGGAGGGCGCAGCCGAGCGCCGCGGCGGCGGTGGCGGCGCCCCTCTCCATACCACTCCCACCACGGGACCTTCTGTTCCTGTTGGCGGGGGGAGCTTGGCGGGCCGCGTCGTCTTCTTCGACGCGTGCTGGCTGCTGTGGCCGGTGGCTGGTGGCGCCGTGGCGGCAGCCTGTCCGGCTGTCCGGCCGGGCTGCGGGATCCAAATCCTCTAACGTCGACTAGGCTGGCCGCTCTCTATACAGTCGGACGATCTGCACCGTTCGCTGGATCCAATGGCCATCTCACAGACTCATGTAGCAGGCCCAGGCCGTACGACAGAGGCCCGAGGGCCCAAAGCCACTGCGCACACTCACGGCGGCACGAGTACGCAACTCGGACACCACCCTCGGCATATCGAGCTTCGACTGGTAGCATGGAGGCTGCTGCACCTGAAAGCATCGTGTCCTGTAAATTGTGCTAGTCTTGTGTTCTGTGAATTCTGCCATTGGTAACAGTTGTGCAGTGTCTGGATTCTACGTAGATAGTATATATAGGAAGCAAAAGTGTCGGCAATTTGTGTAGGGAATTCGCTAGGCAACAAAAGTTCTAGCAAATTGTGATTGTATGGGAACAGAAAAGTATAGAAAAACTGTATAGATTGTGTTCTGGAATGTTGTGACTGAATAATGAGAAGCCATTGGTGAATTTTTGAAACTTTAGAGGCTACACAGATTATGCAGGGACTACATTATTAAGTGCATGTGACATGACAGGCAGCTAAACTTCAGAGATTACATAGAATATAAATAGACTGAAATTTACCCTTGAACCACAAAAACAAATGATATTCTCCAAGAACAGGTTCTATTTTAGAAATCTTGATTCAGATCACCAGCAAAATAAAAGAGCAATAATTGAACTCTTTGTATATATAAGATTTTCACTAGAAAGGTCGTCACATTGAAAGAAGGTATTGAGGGCAATGTATGGTTCAAACATCCCTTCATGGGGCCAAGAAGTAATGGGAGTGACATTTTGCACTGCTATACCATCATCAAATGCCACTGTGCAATTAAAATATATCCCCTAATCTGATAAAAAGTGGCTTCACCCATAGGGCTCCAGCTCTGCTCACCCAGAGTGCTTCAGCTCCAGCAGCAGAGCGCATGCGGAAGAGCCGTGCCAAATGCACCCTGACTAACCATACCAAATATATAGCCCCGTTAGAAGTTTAGAAATAAAAAACAGCATGCTAGATCTTTCAAATTCCTCAACATAACATAGTTTTAATCGGAAGTGCTAGTGTCCGAATGTCCGCAGTTTGACCGAAATTCTGTGCGCATCAAGTCATCATAAAGTAACAAGCCATAGAGGACACATTTCGCCAGCATTCTGAGTCTCCAAACTTTGTTTCCTCGATGGCAGTGCCTACACTCCAACCCCGTCCACATCACCACGCTCCCCCGTTCAAGGCTTCGCTTTCCATCGCTTGCGCGCGGGCGGCAGGAGGGAGCGGGGAGGCCCGTGCGGGTGCGTTTTTGCACACCGGGGAGCCGGGGACGGGGAGGGAGAAGGGAAGGGAGGCGCAGCGCGCCGCGGCGCGGTGGCGGGACCTTCGTTGGCCAGCTTGGCGGGCGCGTCGTCTTCTTCGACGCGTGCTGGCTGCTGTGGCCGGTGGCTGGTGGCGCGTGGGGACCACTCGTCCGGCCGGGCTGCGGGATCCGCCGTCGACTAGGCTGGCGCTCGTCGGACGATCTGGCGATGCCCTGGCCAGCAGCATGTAGCATCGGAGGTGGCCCAAAGCCACTGCATGTGGTTCCCATTGCAACATGTGCAACACCCCGATCTATTTTTGAAACATCCAGATGCAGCATTTGAAACATACGTCTGAAGGCACGTGAAACACTTGAAACACGCGTCTGAAACACTTGTAAAAACACTTGAAAACCATTGCAAAACATACGCAACATCCATATAAAACATTGCAACATATGTGTGAAACATACGCAACATTCAGATAAACACACTTGCAACATGCGTATGAAAAAACAGATGAAACGTTGGAAATAGAAGCTTGCAACATACGTGTACAAGCATTGCAACATATGCAACATCCTGATCTACTTTTGCAACAACCATATGAAACACTTGCAACATACCTATGTAGCATCTGAAACACTTGAAACATGCGTTGTTCTAAACTTCGCTTCCTTCGTGCGTCACTACACTCCAACCCCTTCTTCTTTTTTCGGACGACGCAAAGCACCCAGACGCCGGACGAGGAATGGCGGTTTCGCCAACCGTGGCCGAGGATTGTGGCGATTTGACATGGCTATTTTTGAAACATCCAGCGCCAAGGCCGTGATTGAAACAGGCTTTAAAACACTTGCACTTGGGCTTGCAAAACATACGCAACATCCATATAAAACATTGCAACGACGGCCCTTCCTGGCCGCCGCATACGTGCCACACACGGCGGATAGCGTCAACGCGCTTGCAACGTGAGCGGTGAGAGGGATGGGGAGGGCCGCGCCGCGCCGGATGTGGTGGAGATAGAGGATGGAGGAGGGCGCCGGGGAGCGGCGTGGAGAGGAGTGGGGCTCGGTGGACGGTGTGGGCATCGCGGCGCAACAAGCGACTGGGCAAGGAGGAAGAAAACTGCGTTTGTTATTTTTAGATAGACTGTGAGGGGAAGCAGGCCGGGATGGTCCGCATGCCCATAAAGCCAGCGTCCGAGCGTACAGACGTCGTGACTCAAGCATTACCATAGTTTAATGGGCGTGATCCCTAATGGCTGAAGAAATAATGACTACATGAGCTATGAAAACACTATTGTAGACTGGTATCTTTAATCTGCTCCGATAAGATCGAAGGCAGCTGCAGTTAACAAGAGTGAAATTATTTAGAAAAGACACGTAGTTTGATTAGCCTGAGTTACTTTAGGGTACTGTTTATATCCTTACGAAATTTGAAGAAGCAAGTCACAGAAAGAACCTCATTTGTAGTGTAGTTCTGTATTTTTTTTCTTTATTGCTAGTGCAGTCGGACCAATTTCTGATTGCTCCCGGCCACCATACAATAGTGGTTGAAGAATTTTTAGAGTGTCTATATACGGTCTCAACAAACTCGGATCCAGCAGAAGACGCGCGACTTTTGCCTTGACGCCTGTCATCATGCTCCCTGACTCGGTCATTGCTGCAAAACAAAACAAGACAGGAATTAGATGATAGTGCTAAGCTGCTAGCCATGCCATGTTATGTAGCTATACGATCGATATACAGAGAAGCAGCTCACAAACTCAGCAAGCATGAACCGCAAAGATCAAAATGAAAGTGTGGTAGTAGAACAAGAACAACAACCTTAATTACTCCCTGGCGGCAAAGCCAGGCCCTGCTGCAGGATGGAGTTCATCAAGCTTCCTCTTGTGTGAACCATGCTTCCTTTGGAAGAAACCCGGAGGGAAGGCAACTGTCTCAGTGAAAGCGTGGTCGTGAACAGACCCATGCCATAGGAGCCTCTTGTTGCGAACATCAAAGGTGCAAATGTGATCCACCGAAGAAACATCTGAATAAGAGTATCCCAAGAACTGGCCAGTCACCACAAGGCAGAGGGCACCATCCGCCGTGAGGAGAGGGTACCCCACCTTCGCCTCCGGCAACCCCGCCTCCTTGAAGCTGTCGAACCGGCCTCCAGAGCTCTCTGACAGGAAACCTTGCCTCGTTCTTCCACTGCCCCCCAGGCAGTTCCAAAGTCCACATCGTCACCGAGTCATCAGCATGGTGCTTGCCGCGATGAATGCAGACGAAGCAGATGGAGTCCCCGACGCAGGCTATGGTCCGGGTCACCTTCTTCATCGGCAGAGGGCAGTCCAACATCTCCTTCAAGTTAAGCTGGCACTCGCCAGGCAAGTCGATGCAGCCGAAATCCACGGCAGAGTCGTCACTGGCGGTGTGCAGGTCGCAGTAGATGAGGACTTGCGAGAGATCGGCCCAGAAGCCCTTGCCTTGAAAAGAGAAGGTCGCGTCCATCCTGAATCTTTCGAAGACGCTAACCGGCACGTTCCACCTCAGTGTCCTCCTTATCTCCCACGCACAGGTTCGGTTCGTCCCAGTCACCGGAGAGAACACGCAGAGAAAGGTCGGCGGATCCGTGTCCGAAGCCAGGGGCAGCCGGCCATCATCACGCTCACAAGCCAAGAAGAACAGCTCGTAAGCGCCGTCGGAGGTGCGCTTGGGGAAGGGCCTAAACATAGCGATGACTTTGAGGGAATCTGGCACACAGCTCACCATGGAGAGGGATGCGTCGCTGCGGTCGTACACGAGGTAGTAGGACAGCCTGCGAAAGTTGCGCTCGAGCAACAGGACGATGATCAAAAGGTCCTGCTCCAGCATCATGATGCGGACCACGGCAGGCGCCTCCTCCTCCTCCTCCTCGTCGAGGGAGGCGAGCCCAAGCTCCGAGATGAATCTCTCACGCGCATCGCGGCTGATGCGGATGCCCAATGTCAATGTGGAGGTGACAAGCGGGTCGTCGCCGAGGCGCACGCAGAGACTGAGGCCATTCAGCGCCTGCCGCATGTTGTGCCCGCATCCGTAAGCCTCCCTGCGAGCGATCTCGACGTTAGTCCACCCTTCCTCTGCCTTGCCGGTAAGTTTGCCGTTGCCAACATTCACGTTGGGATCAGCCCACCCTTCGCCTCCCTTGCCGGCATGGCTGATGCCCACGAGCAAGTCGTGGTTGAGTACGTAGACAGCAGGGGGACGACGTGCCGCAGCCATGGGTGACGCGCCGCGCGCTAGTGGAGGATACGTACGGGAGGAAGGAGAGTGGGGTAGGGCTAGATCGGTGTTGCTGGTTTGAGGAGACCAGATTGAGATGGAATTTGTGGGAAGACAGCAAGGAGACGGCCGGGAACCGGCGCGCAACTCGACCTCGACTCGCCGGATCGGAGAAGCGATGAACGTCGCCGCACGTTGTTTGTTGCCTTGTTGGGGACTTCGGGTGCGCCGATGCGGGTTCAGGAGGATCGTCGGACCAGTGGACTCGGTGCATGTTGTACCGACGACTTGTACGTTTTTTGGGCCAACGAACGAGGTCGTTTTTGTTTCGGCCACCGGGTTCGCATGTGTGTGAATTCAAACACTCTGTTTGCGATTTTGGGAAAACATTTTGTAGCCCAAAAAATCTAATTCCGCGCTTACAAAATTACAGGTCACTGCTAAGTCAAATTTATCTAACTTATTTAATCCAGTTTCCCGAGAAACAATTGATAGGAACATGGAACGATAAACATATTTTGATTAGGAAAAAGTCTTACAAAATAGATTTTGATGTATTTTTTCCTAAACAATCAATATCAGCTTAGAGATGCTTTAAATAAAAAAATTTAATTTAAGTTATATTATGTCCTAAATTTTATATAATGTGACTATTTGTTTATTATCAAAATGGTTAACTTTTAACTTTTCCTTATATAAAATATGTTTATCATTTTGGCACCAAGGTGAATAAAGTTTAACTATCATTACTAGTAGTGTGCATGTGCTAATGCTACTGTAAAATACAAAGCAAGATAAAATTTATAAAAATTTGCTTTCAGGTACATATGCCTGTGCGTTGAAACGGTACAAAATAATGTCTGATAATTCAAGTTCCAACGTGTGTTTGTACTCGCCGCCAAAAAATAATACTTTAAACATGATGTTCGCAACAAAAACTTATAATTAGCTTTAGGTTCAGTTTGGTCACAATACTTTAAGCCAATAGCAAGCAGGCAGGTTCAGTCTGGCTTCTCTGCTGATTAGCTCAAAAAAAATCTAACAATACTTGTCAGTGTTTTGTAAACCGGACTAGTAAACTTATACGATTGCCGCGCTGCTCTAGGAAGACGATGGTAGCATTCAAAAGACACGAGTATTTATACTGGTTCAGGCCGGAGCCCTACGTCCAGTCTCAGAGATGATCGAGTGCGTGTTCCTCGTTTGAATGCTCTGAAGTTCTTACAATGAGGATGCAAGAATGGTGGAAGAGATAGGAGATCTAGAGCTAGGAAACGGATTGCCTGAAGGGAAGCTTCAGGAGCCCTTCTACGGTGTAAGAATGAATGAATGAGAGTTGGATGGTGCCCTGGCTGCCCTTATATAGAGTTCAGGGCCAGGGCTTGTACAAAGCAGTAGGTTCTCCCGACTGAAGGATTGTGAGCCTGAGGGAGGTTCTAGCTAACTTGTCTTGCAAGTTGCGCTGTCTTGTGGAGCACGTCTGGGCGTGGTGTTCGTCATGGTCTTATGGCCACATCGCTGCATGGTGTTGCGTGGTGCTACTGTGCCGACCGTGGCGGCACTGTAGGCACAGTGGTGGTTTGCCAGCCGTCCTGTGTGCGCGTAGTCTCCGCCGTGGTCTTCGTCATCGTCTTTTGGTTTCCTGGGGCGTCGTACCGGAGTTGTCAGCCGCCCCCAAGTCGTCGATTGCCTCGTTAGCTTGTGGAGTTGAGGGCCATGATCCCAATCGTTGGGGTCGTGGCTCTCGCCGGGTCTGGATGGCCTCTAAGTCAAGGCCTTCGTCGTGGATCCCATCCCATAGTGGGTGGAGTCGTACATGCGTCTTGTTGGGCCATATTTGGCCGGTGGTTATCGTACCGGTCGTCACCGCCTTGGGCGGTGTTGTCATGTCTGAGCTGCGTGGCACGGGGATGGCGTCTGATCGGACCGAGGTGACCGTTGTCCCCTCAGTCCTTGCGGGGTCAGAGTGGCATGCCTACCCTTGTCAGAACGGGCGTGCCTGGCTGTGCTTGACCTCTCTCCGTTCCTCCCAGGGGTCGGCACGGGGGAGAGGTCGTGCGCCCATTGAGCGTTGTGCGGCTTAGGTAGGAGGAAGGGGTCGTGGCCGACCCTGGCCTTAGCGTCAGTCCTGGTTTACTTGGCTTAGTTGGACCTCGGTCGTTTGGGTTTTCGCTATCCAATGTCTCATGGGCCGCTTGGCCTACTAACTAATCGGTGCCTTGAGACAGCCCAGGGTTATGACCCCGGCAGTAGCCCCCGAGCGTTTTTGCGATCACGAAGTGATCGTGAAAGCGTTGTGTTGCGTGCATATCGAATGCGGGTTCGTAGTTCACGGCTTGTTCGAGCTTCGTCACTCGACCCCTTGTGGGCTGGTGCGTTCAATGCGGTAGGTGGCCATTGTGCTCTGCCTCGTCAGGACGCCCTGAAAATGTGGTACATGACCACTGAGCCCTGCCGTGTCAGTGTGCTGTGTGTCGGGGTTCGTGACCCAGGCGAGATCGAGTGGTCTCATTGACGTTGTACCGGCCTTGCCTTTGGGAAGGTCTCAATTTCCCCGAGCTCATGCGGGCATCTGACATTGGCTGCGGCCTCCCGTGGTTCACCACGTAGCGCGGGGGCTTCAGGCCGCTCAGTCCGTCCCTAGCCTATAAATGGGGACCCTTCTACCGTTCGAGGCACTCATGGCCGTAACTACAAATCACTCTCTAGCTTAATGGCTCTTTGCGGGTATAACTGACCGAAGCATTCGGTCACACTGACCGGAGCGTCCGGTCACCCCGCAGAACGCTGACTCAGCCTTCAAACGTTATGTTTTGAATGAGGGGGGTATAAATACTTACTCCACTCGTCCAAGAGAGGTCTCCTGCCCATTTATTCAGCTGAGAAACACCTTGAGAGTGCAAGGGAGAGCAAGAGCCTAGTGAGGTGATTGAGATTTGAGAATCCAAGATTAAGGTCCTCATTAGTGCAAGGAGAGTAGCAAGTGTGCATCCACCCTTCTCATTAGGCTTGTCATGGTCAAGTGAGAGTTTGTGCTTGTTACTCTTGGTGATCACCATCACCTAGATGGCTTAGTGGTGATTGGGAGCTTGGTGATCATCCGGCGGAGCTTGTGGATGACCCAACTCAAGTTGTGAGCGGTTGTGGGCGATTCACCGCGATGGAGTATCAAAGAATCATACCATAGAGAGCAGTTGATCCTTGCACGGATCAAGAGGGAGCTACACCCTTGCGTGGGTGCTCCAACGAGGACTAGTGGGGAGTGGCGACTCTCCGATACCTCAGGAAAACATCGCCACGTTCCTTTTCCTCTCTTTACTTTGATCAATTCATTTCTTGTCTTTACATTCCTATAATTGTCATGTTAGAGTAGGATTGGAACCTAGGGTGCAAAACTTTTGTGCGTTAGAACAATAGAAACACATTCTAGGCACAAGGGGTGAAGTAGGTTAAGTGTAGGGTTTAATTATTGCAAAGAATTTAGAATTAGCCTAATTCACCCACTCTTGAACATCTTGATCCTTTCACTTTGGTTAACATACAATATACATTCCAGGCGAAATCACCAAGTCCAATAACATAGCTTTATCTTTCCTTGCTTTCTGGATAAGGACTTCGAATGAGATGACAGCTGTAACACCCCAGGTGTTTGCCACCGGTTAAGCAATGGGTTTGAGCTAAAACCTGGTATATTAAGTGAGGATGAAGATGTCAATGTCAAACCTATAGAAACGAGCCCCAACCTAAACTTGGATATTGCACCTTTGCTCGCCTATAGACCCCTTTTCAAGATATATGCTTGGGTGGTGTGATTGGGATATCTTCATGTGTCTCACATCAATACCCATCTATATTGGGCACTCGAAAAGTTTCATGAAGTTTGGAATCAAAAAGTCACATGAAATGACGAGTTATGTCCTTGCTTGAATTAATTTATAAAGTGAATGGAATTCTCGATCGTCAACCAAATCTTGCAACCATGCCCAAATGACTCTAGATGAACTCTACAACAAAAGTCATGAAAGGTTCATGTTGAGCAAATGCCAAGAAAACGCTCCAATGGATCAAAAAGGATAATTTAAGCTTCATCGTGATCCTACTTTGGTCAAAGTAGAACAGTAGGTTCTATACCAGTTTTGAGGTTGGACCTTAAATGAAAGTTGTAGTCCATATCATGTAGAACAAACTTTGTTTTTGGACTAAGAGCTAGATCATCTTGGAAGTAAGTCAAATCGAGGTCACAAGATCGAATTTGCTGCTGATTTCAGCACTTAGAAATATTCTAAGTCTGAAATTCATCGACATCGGCATTGACGTCTCGCGTTCTCCGAAATTCGTTAAGCAACTTGACTTGACCCCAAAATAAAAGTTGGAGCTTATGTGGTGGAGAAGAGCAGGCAAGAAGATGGCACTTGTCGGACTTCATTTTGCCCATCAATATGGAAAGATTGTTAATTGTTGCCGATACTTTGACAATGTCATATTGGCACTTGATTATTTCCTAATCTGTAGCTCTAATGGCTGTGCACTCTTAATATGAAATGTAGAGTAGGTCGAGATTGACAACTTTGCTTTTGGGCCCAAAGTCTAATTCGGACCCGAGCTAGCCCAAAACAGCGTCCCACCTTGTCCACTTCGCTGCACGCCACGTGCTCGACGTTTTGCCTCCGTGGCGACCAGGCGCAAGCACCACGCGCCCACCTCCTCGCCGCGTGTCCCGGCCGCCCTGCCGCGCCCCTGCTGCTCCATAATGGAGGCCGAGCTATGCCAGACGCTCCCCACTCCTCCCTGCTCTCACTCGCTGCCCTCGCTCGCCCTCCTTCGCTCTAGAGCTTATGAACGCTGCGTGCATGTCCACCATGGCCGCCGTGGAAGAAGCTCGCATTGCAAATTGTTCGCCGCTCCCAGTCTCCTCACTCCCCACGAGCACCGCCCTCAGCTTCGCCGCCATCTCCTTCACGTCGTGCTCGTGCTCGCCGTCGCAAACCGCCACCGTGGCC